AAACTTTTCAACCACACATCTTCCATCAATCGCTATTCTAAAAATTATCTACCCCAAATAATTTAAATTAATGGGGGGCAAACAGGGGCTAAATGTGAAGAAATACACGACAAGGTGAAAATGTGAAAGAATTTATCAGTGTTCAAGTAGAGTCAGACTCACTGAAGAAAACAAAAAGTGCTTTGGACGTGAAATACAGAAAAAATGTCATGGCGACTTGTGAAATTTTATGGAACTAAAATTTTTTGGCATATTATGTGCAGGTGTCCTTAAAGTCAACAGCTTGTGTGGAGAGGGCTACCATTATTTGCATTACCAAAAATTTAACTCAGTGTTATCCTGTATAACTACACAAATCCTCTTTCAATACTCCACTCTTTCAAGAGCAATGTCCGAAGATAATGTAAAAACGTTTCCATCCTTTATTTATTTTTTATTTTTTGAGAGAGGAAGTTTCAATCTTTTTTATTTATCTCCTTTTATGGGACTTTAAGTCGACCTCTTCCTTTAAGTTTGCAATTGGTACTCGACCAATCACCTTTTTAACCAATATATGTAGCAGCCAGAACTGGATGGGCGAAAACAATTTCGATCAGTCCTCATGCTTTTATTGTCTATTAGTACCCCTTCAACAAACTGATGAATGTGTTCATTTCATGCTCAATACTTCCTTGTTTTCCCGCAAACCAATCTCAATATTCTTATCTCGATCGCACTCCAGTAGTGGAGATTTCTCTTAACAGCCCAACTTTTGGTCCACATAACAGATCCTAGATCAGTCCTTTGAATTTCTATATTATTTTGTTGATGGACAAATGCGTGATGCGTTTCTCCATATAACCTAACCTGGCAGTTTTTTGTTTTTCTCCTAACGTCCTTGTGAGAATCAAAGCGGAAAAGAATGGATATAGATCACAAGGGATCTTATTACTTCTTCGAAAGTGTTAACTAAGTAGTGTTTTGGATCAACACTAAGTGTTAAGAAACCAATCAAAAGAATTGCTTATATACCATTACTCGAACTACATTCTTGAAAGTAAAATTTCTTAACAGACACACATAATTTTCTTTAGACGAAATGTCATCAGACACAATAAACTAAAGTTGTTCCACTGAACAGATTTTCTGACCTTGGCCCCTTGAATTAAAAAGGGAGGGGTGGCAAAACATTCATACATTGCAAGAATAGACTATATATCATCTCGAAGAAGTATGAAACATAAAACTTACTTCAACATTTCTGCAAAACTCATAGCTTCATCAATTCCAGGAATAGCATTTGCTAAGTCGGATAGAAAACCATCCATATTATCTGAACCCAACGTGTCTTCATTTTCCACATTAGGATCAACTTCCTGTGAGGCAGAATTGCAAATTCGCAATGGATAAAAAACTCAAGATACGAGAAGTTTGAAATCCACACAATTACCACAATATCAATTAATACACTACCATATATGCCTAATATGCTAATACAAATACAACTTTATTTTAAGCTAAAACTTAACCCACATCGACCTTCCTTGGTGGAGCCTAAAAGCTCACTAAGGATTTTTGGATGTCTGTGCTAAAAAAAAACAGTCAAAAAGTCCCCCTGCGGTCATCTATTTTGCCTTCACCTCATTTTTCTTCTTACTTCAACAAAAGCACATTCTTTAATTCTAATTATTCAATAACCTTACAAAAATCCAGGATACCTATCCTTATAAATCTGATGACACTAGGTTCTTTAATTTATTTATATTTGTACTTGATTGGTGTACACGATTCCCGAGTATGGCGGCATTAGATCTCACACATTTAAATTCCCTTCACGTGTATCCTTCATACTTAATATAAATTTAATAAATTTTATTTTTCCCTAAGCCACCCATCGCCAATGCTTCGAATGTCAAAGTAATACAAAACCATAAGAAAAAATTTATTTGAAGAATCCAAAATAAAGGTTTAAAAAGAGCAAAAAGAAACCTTTAGAATTGTCCACAACTAAAATCATCCACAGGCCAGATAAATTCATCAAATACCCAAAACTTCATGTAAAAATTTCACAAATATCCCATCTTTCCATCTCAAACAATCCAAAATTAATCCAAACAAATCTAGAATACCACAAAGACAACGTAAGAAAAAACATTTCAAGAAAGCAAAACTAAGT